TTTTTTACCTAGAAATAATGGATAGGGCAATGCAAAGTTTGCCGGGCCAGCTAGTCAGAAATAAATTAATGTTGAACTCTGGCGAATGACTTTGGAAAATATTACTAAAAATACTAAAAAATACATTTCTTAAGATAAAAGAATTATAGTGATCCCTTAGGCAATGATATCAATAGTTCATTTCTCACAGTTTAGGTTTCTTGTTTAAATAATCAGTTGGCATAGCGTAATACCGCTTAAAACTAATCAAGATTAAAATGGATTGCGTTCAGCGGTAAGAGCATTAAAAACTTGAATGAATGCGACGGCATTAATATGAATGCAAAAGTGCAGAGCTGAGGCAATGTTCGCCCCCCTCAAGAATAGATGTGCTGAGGTTAGGGTAGAGGGTAGCGGGGGTCACAAGTGCAAGGGTGACATTTAACGGTAATTTCCGGCTACGATACTTGTGCAGTGACATCAAGTTTTCTGGCTGGCAGCCAGATAAGCAAATGGAGTTAAGGTGTTGGGCACTTCCCTAATTACACATGGCCCACGCCCAATGCCAAGCAACTAATTTCACATGCAGCACAGGACGAGCCATCAAAATCCAGCTAATGTCGCACAAGCGAACAACAACTTGCAACTGAAAAGGCGGCACAAGACTTACGTACCAATTACATGAAAGTTGGACAAGAAATGGGGCGCTTAAGGAGGGAGGGGCGGGGGTTCTGGGTGGGATGGATATGAAGTTAAAGCTATTGAGGCGAACTGGCAGTGTGTAGGAGGAGGAGAAGGAGCGGGGATGAGGGGATGAGGGGGAGGAGTGACAAAGTTGAGCACATCCTTGTGACTGACACCGGAAGCAGTCGCTGCAGTCGCTGACTAACACCCGCGGCACAGAACTTGAGCAGGATCCGGGACAGGCAAGACACGACGACAACGAACAGCAGCCAGAGAGACTGTCATAAATATTTATGCGAGTTTTGGGAACAACAATGCCAGCGCAACAACAGCATTGACTGCGCCACGGCCAAAATCGCAAGCGAATCCCCAACCAGCGGCACATGCGATTGTCTAAGACATGCCAGCAGCACAGAGAGAGAGAGAGATAGAGAGAGAGTGAGGGAGAGGGAGATGCGCAGCCAGTGGCACCTTCGCATGCAGCTGACAATGAGCAGCAGGATACATTTGCACCTGCACCACCACCCGCAACATGTTTGCTCAGCGTCTTGAGCTTCCTGCATCAGGGCATCTTCAGCTGCCCCGCCTACCGCCTCTAATGGATGGCGTGTGCAAAAGTTGACACAACACCGCCAACAGCCAAAGCCAAACAGCTGCTGCTCGACTCGATGCGGCTTCGACTTTGAAGCCAGCCAAACCACCCAACCACCCAACCACCCAGCCACACAGCCACCTGACTGCAGAACAAAAGGGCAAAGTTTTCGTCGCCAGGCGTGAAACGTTTCGTCAACTAATCGCAACGTTGCTACGCAACTGCATCGCAACTACCACCCGCATACGTATCAGCACCCGCATCCGCATCCGCATTCGCATCCGCATTCGCTTTCGCATGGGCGTGTTTAGCTCTTAAGTGTTTTGCCATTGCTTCAAACTTCAGCTGCTCAAAGGCTTCAAACAGAGTCACATATGTGCAAGAAAATCCAAGTTTAGCCCATGCCAAGATCAAAAGTTTTAACAGCTATATTATGATGCCTAGAGTTTTGATTTGATGAATCCATTGGTATACACACAAACATATATAGAACCTGTAATATATAAAAGAATATCGATCAAAGAACTGATTTGAATCTCAATGTTCAGATCTCATAGTGATCAGGATTCATTATAAGGAGATCTTAACGGTGAGATCATAACTTTGCAGTCAGGTCTTTGAATGGTTTCTCAGTTATATATTTTTAATGATTACTTGACTATATACACATATATAAATGCCTATAATGATGACCTAATAGTTGGATCTATATCACAATGATGTTAATAACTGCTTGACTATATTTACATATATGAATATGTTTATGTTTTTAGATGGTCTTTAATGTTCAAGCTGATATCTGGGAATTGGTTGAGGGCACAACTCGATTCGATTTCAGCTTATGTCCGTTGGCTGCTGTATAGAACAAAAATATCAGAGAGGTGAAGAGTTAAAGCTAAGGTTCCGCTTGAGTTGAGGAAATAACAGTAAGGTGTTCTTAGCGGAGCCAAAGAAAGAGTGAGAGAGAGAGAGATAGAGAGAGGTAGTGAGCAAGCTGGCATCATGGTAAAGTGCAGCTGAGGAAATAAAAGTTAATGTTATAACTGCAAAATACAAGGCAAGAACGAACGAAGCGAAAGATAATTTTGCTGCTTTTGCTGTTGCTGTTGCATCTAATTCGCTTTGCTTTTCTTTCAGCATTATGTTGGTGCTGCTGCTGCTGCTGTTGCTGGCGGCGCCATTATCCCAGTGAATGGCAGCAGCAACAACTATTTACGGCAAACTCCTGCAGGTGAAATGGCATCCTTTTGTCAAGTCTCGCCTTGGACAAGCCTCGAGCCAACAGCAGCAGCACCACCATCTTCTTGCCACGCCTTCTTCAGCCTCTGTTTGTCGTTGTCAACGTCGTTGCTATTCAAACTCCATACAAACTGACATTTCACATATCAACGCCGTCGCCGTCGCCGTCGTCGTCGTCGTCCTCGTCGATGCTGTTGTTGCTGGCCGCCCACGCGACGGCATCATTAGAAATGCATGACAATGTTGCTCAACACCGCCATCCGCACAGGTGCTGCTGCTGAGGCCACGCCCAACCGCCCAAGCGCCCACTATTTGTTATACACCCATATCTCTGGTGCTGTTTTCCTTTTCCTGGCATTGTTGCCGCCAAGAGGAATTTAGATTAAAGATTGAAACTTTGTTAATGTCGCGCATTATTAAGAAGAATCTTTTTTACAAAAGCCAAGCGACGCATTAATTCCCACCGGAGCACCGGAAATTAACACTTTCAATATTCATGCGAATGGATGAGCTCACATTGGCCAACATGCAAACGGTATATATTAGCCAAGAGTCGTGCTTTGTGGCATGCAGATGTTGTTTCTTGTTGAATTATTGAGTGCATGAATATAAAAAAAAAATGTTCAATCGGAATGGATTTAAAATAAAACTCTATGAATCATTAAAACACGAAACTCTGAAAATTTGGTTATTTGGGAAATAAACAAATGTAAAAAAGCTAAAATATATATTTATTATTTTATATTTATATCAGATGAATAGAAAACTTAAATAATTCATCTATAATATTGAGCTTCGTTTCTTTTTAGTGAATTTTAATAATTTTTTTTTTATTATGCCAAAATATTTGTAACAAATTCTAAATCCTTGAAAAAAAAATCGTTCGAGTTGGAAAATATTATCTCCTTGCAATTTCGAATTATCGGGACTCGACTGTACATATTTTTGCTCTAAATAGAGACTTCCCACTAACAAAAAAATAAAAAAACAAAAGTGCAGAGTATTTCTAAGCAATTTGTTGTCCATTGCGCTAATTAAAAATGCTGCAAACAATAAACTGAAAGATGCCCCAGGAGCTGGCGCAGTGCATCCGTAATATGTATGCGCTGCTCATATGGAAAATGTCATCCAATTTGCTGTGGCCCCTCCTACTGCGCCCTCTCAATGTTGCCGAAATAGTTTGTGGGTCGGGGCTGTGTGGGGCTGTGGTGGCAAAGAAATGCAGCACGAGATGCGCCGCAAATGAGAATTGTTTTCAATTTTAGCGCGCATTTTGCATTAATTAAAAATACCAAGCGAAAAGCGATTGCTGCAAGTGCAAAATAAGTAACCAAAAATAACTCATTAAGTGCCGGACATTCCGGCTACATTGCCCCAAAG